GTTGGCGGTTCATTCCGCTGTGTGACCGCTGATTCATAAAAGGGACTAAGTCGAAGGAAAATGAATGAATGCATCTTTGTTTGCTGATGTTGATGTCAGAGCTGCTGCTGCTGCTGGTTTTCAGGGGTTTTCTCTGCCGATGGCGTTTCTCTCATCTCAGCCTCTCGCAGGTGTATCTGAGGAGAGCACTTGGCTGAAATAACATCAAAAAAGAGTCGCACTTAAAAATGCATGGTGTTTCTCGAGTGTGTATAGACTGAGAGAGAAGTGCATATGGTCTGCTGCTTTTCCAGCGTGAAGGGTAACACTTGAATGCGTCCGTGACCTGAATACTCATAGTAGACTGTGCTGCAAACTCCATTTTCACAATCCAATTGTCCCAATAATGATATTAATACTAATTATATTAGTATAGCACTAATATAATACATAAACTGCAACTCAAAATGCTTCACAAACTTATTTAAAATATATTAAAAACAACAGCAACGTAGGTTAATCAAAGCTTTGAATGACTTAACAAGTATAGTGAAAGCAAAATAGACACAAAACATTGTTACATATCTGTAACATTTCAGTGTAAATAGCAAAATTAAATGAATTAACGCGAACCGTTCTGTACCACTCTGTGGAAACGGGCTATAGTATTAAGATATTGGCTGTTTATTAGTACTTAGCCGACAGATAGCTCTCTCGCCCACTATAGCTAAGCAGGGCTGCGCCCGGTCAGTACCTGGATGGGAGACCACATGGGAAAGCTAGGTTGCTGCTGGAAGTGGTGTTAGTGATTCCAGCAGGGGGCGCTCAACCTGTGGTCTGTGTGGATCCTAATGCCTCAGTATAGTAACAGGGACTCTATACTGCTCAGTGAGCGTCGTCTTTCAGATGAGACATTAAACCGAGTTCCTGACTCTCTATGGTCGTTAAAAATCCAAGGATGTCCTTTGAAAAAGTGTAGGGGTTATTCTGCCCATCATGGCCTCCTAACCATCACCATATCGTAATTGGCTTCATCACTCTGTCTCCTCTCCACCAATCAGCTGGTGTGTGGTGTGCGGTCTGGTGGAAAATGGCTGCTGTCACGTCATCCAGGTGAATGCTGCACACTGGTGGTGGATGAGGAGATCCCCCCAATGTGTAAAGCACTTTGAGTGTCCAGAAAATCGCTATAAAATGTAAATAATTATTACCTATAAACTACATATTCTACATGATCTTATTCTACATCCCTAATCCTACCTAATAACTACAGTTCTACCTTAATAACTATTAGTAAATTACGAGTTTATTGAGGAAAATGTCACAGTTATTGGTTTGTTAATAGTGAAAATATACATTAAAGTAACCTACATTTCTAACTACATGTCTTGTTTCATTTATCAATATTTGCTCTTTTTCAATGTATTTCTAAAGCACAGTTAAACACAACTAACGCTGGCTGACGTGCTGTGCAGAATAGATTAATGGTAATGAAATTAAAAATGAAGCATGATCAAAACAAATAATGAATGCAACAAAACATGAAGCAAATCATACACATGAAAGAAACATTACAAATCATGGAAGTAGGTCAGATCAAATAAATCTAGACTTAAAAATAGATAATAAATACACTATGATCATGGGATGAAGGTAAAATAGACGATTGAATTCATGTCATGTTGTTTCTGCTTTAGCTCCTTCATTAAAGTTGATTTCCACAATAGCTCCAGTCAACTGAAACGGCTTCACTCAAGGTTAAATGCATTATTTTCTCCAAATCTGAATCTCTTTGTCATCAAATTCATGCTAGGGAACATGCCCTTAGCTGGACATGTGTCATGTTAGATATTCAATACAGAGGCATTCATTGTCTGAAGATGATGCGATCTGAGCTTATACCTGTCAGTGGTCAGCAGAAGGTGCATTAGTTATTATGAGGACTAGAAGAGACATTATAGCTCAGAGCTGTGGAGGACTGAAGACACAGTCTGTTCCAGACTAAATACAGCCACTCTTCCTGTCTATCCGTCTATCTATCCGTCCAACCATCCTTCCATCCGTCTATTTATCTGTGTATTGTTCTGTCTGTCTGTCAGTCTGTCTGTTTGTCTGTCTGTCTCTTTATCTATCTATCTATCTATCTATCTATCTATCTATCTATCTATCTATCTATCTATCTATCTATCTATCTATCTATCTATCTATCTATCTATCTATCTATCTATCTATCTATCTATCTATCTATCTATCTATCTATCTATCTCTGTCTATCTGTCTGTCTGTCTGTCAGTCAGTCCGTCCGTCTGTCCGTCCATCCGTCCGTCTGTCCGTCTGTCCGTCCGTCCATTTATCCATCCATCCGTCTATCTGTCCATCTTTCTATTTTTCTGTGTATCGTTCAGTCCGTCTGTCTGTCTGTCTGTCTGTCTGTCTGTCTGGGAACATTTATGTTATATATCATTTTATATTATTGTCTAAAAAACAGGTAATAAATGGGTAATAACCCCTACTGTATTCGATATAATAACTTAATCATAGCAAACTAGATAATTGCTTAAATAAACAAAGGTTTTATGCACAAAAAATTCATTACCTGAGCTAAAAGAAAGAAATACAGAATAAAAAGAAAGAATAAATGAATAAAACAAAAGAGAAAAAGAAAAAGAAAATATAAAAAAGAAAGAAAGAAGGAAAAAAAGAAAGAAAAAGAGAAAAAAGAGAAAAAGAGAAAAAAAAAATAGAAAGAATAAAAAAGAAAGAAAGATAAGGGGGAAATAAAAAGAAAGGCACAAAGAAAGGCCACCAGAATAAAAAAGAATAAATAAACAAAGAAATTAAAAAAGAAAAAAATGAATAAGAAGAAAGAATAAAAATAAAAAAGAAGGAAAAGGACAATGAAATAAAGAATAAAAAGAAAGAAAGAAAGAAAGAAAGAAAGAAAGAAAGAAAGAAAGAAAGAAAGAAAGAAAGAAAGAAAGAAAGAAAGAAAGAAAGAAAGAAAAGGCATGTTTCGTCCATCAGAGGACTGATATTTTACACACATTTTACCATCGTGCTGTGAAATGTGAAGTTAAAGCAAAATCCCTGTCAAATTTCCACTCAATCCTCTTAGGGATTATCAGTGAAGAACTCACTGCAAACACACACACACACACACACACACACACACACACACACACACTTCTGGCTACAACAGTTGTCATTAGTGCTTTGCTAAGCTAACGGTGAAATACGTTAGCAGCCACATTGTTGCTCACATTATGAAGAGTCTTGGTGTCAGAAATGTGACGTGTGCCGATGATAAACTCAAATACTTCATGTGCAGTCAGCAGAACTGAGCTGGAGCAGAATGGGTGAGGTTCAGACCAATAATGCTGTGTGCTGTTAGCCGTAATATTAGCATAGTGTGAGCTGTTGAATCAGTCCATCACACTCACTCACTGGCTATTTTATTAGGTACATCATACTAGTAACGTGTTGGACCCCCTTTTGCCTTCAGATATGCCTTAAAAGTTTGTGGTGCTCGATTGGTACTAATGGGCCCAAAGTGTGCCAAAAAAATCTCCCCCACACCATAACACCACCACCACCAGCCTGAACCGCTGATACAAGGCAGGACGATCCATGCTTTCATGTTGTTGAGGCCAAATTGTGAGCCGAGCATCTGAATGTGTGAGCAGAAATGGAGACTCATCAGAGCAGCAACGTTTCTCCAATCTTCTATTGTCCAGTTTTGGTGAGTCTGTGTGAATTGTAGCCTCAGTTTCCTGTTCTTAGCTGACAGGAGCGGCACCCGGTGTGGTCTTCTGCTGCTGTAGCCCATCCGCCTCAAGGTTGGACGTGTTGTGTGTTCAGAGATGCTCTTCTGCAGAGCTCGGTTGTAGCGAGTGCTTATTTGAGTTACTGTTGCCTTTGTATCAGCTGGAACCAGTCTGGCCATTCTCCTCTGACCTCTGGCATCAACAAGGCATTTGCGCCCACAGAACTGCCGCTCACTGGATATTTCCTCTGTCAGACCATTCTCTGTAAACCCTAGAGATGGTTTTGCATGAAAATCCCAGTAGATCAGCAGTTTCTGAAATACTCAGAGCAGCTCCTCTGACACCAACAACCATGCCACGTTCAAAGTCTCTTAAATCCCCTTTCTTCTCCATTCTGATGCTCGCTTTAAACTGCAGCAGATCGTCTTGACCATGTCTGCATGCCTAAATGCATTGAGCTGCTGCCATGTGATTGGCCGATTAGAAATTTGCGTTACTCAGCAGTTGGACAGGTGTACCTAATAAAGTGGCCGGTTAGTGTAAACACCACAGCAATAAAGTGATTACTTTAAGGTATGGGCTTTCATTTGAAATAAAGTGGATTAGAAATATAAATTCTTTCATATATGAAAAAAAATGTAGACAGCGCCCTCTAGTGGACCTGATGTCTGAAATAATTAACAAAACGTTCCTGCTGCACCTAAATATTTTTGGTTACACTTTAATTTAGGTCACAATTCCCGCTATTAACTACTGGCTTATTACCTGCATATTATTAAGATAGGAAGTGTTCATTAGTAGTTTAAAGTATGATCTTGTTCTGCATCCCCAATCCTACCCAAAACCTAATTACCACCTCACTACCTAATAATAAGCAGCTAATTAGTAGTTTATTAAGCTAGTAGCATTGTTTATTGGTAATAAGTTTTTTTAATACCGTGAATTGTGACCTAAATAAAGTGTTTTTTTATGTTACAGTCGTCCTCATCAAGGGACCCCAACTTCCAGCATTTAATTTAATAATACAGCTTTGCCCTTATTAATAAACATCAGCTAAATTTGTGTCTTGCATAAGCAGATGAGCTGTGTTTCAACCAATCTCTGTGTTATGATGGATGATACAGACAATGTTGCAGGGTTGTATGCTTGTTGTAAAATGTGTGTTTTCCTAGTCTCTTCAGTGTGTGTTGGTTGGTGTTTTCTGACCTCTGTGTGTGTGTGTGTGTGTGTGTGTGTCCTCTGCTCTGATCTCTGCAGAACTGGCGCACAACTGTACTCTCTCCGGCTGTCAGGATGAGTGTGGCGTGACGCGTGGCGGACCCGTCTGCTTCTGCAAGAGCGGATACGAGATCAGCCAAGATGGAAAGACCTGCAAAGGTCAGCAGCACACAAACACACAGACACACACACACACACATACACATACACACACACACACATGTATGCATAAACACACACAAATACATGCATGCTTAAATACAAACACAGAAGCATGCATACGCACACACACACACATACACATTCATGCTTACATACACACACACACACACACACATACACAAACATGCATACACATACACACACATGCTTACATACACACATACATGCACGCACACACACAATTGCATACGCACACAGACATGCATGTATACGCATACATATGCACACACATACACATGCATACACACATACGCACAGACATACATGCGTGTATACACACACGTGCACACACACTAGATTGCGTACACATGCATGCGTACATACATGCACATATAGACACAACCATATACACACATACACACCCACAGATACACACACATGTACATGCACAAACACACACACATGCACATATTACACAAGCACATGCACACACATACATATATGCACACATTCATGCATACATACACATACACATGCCTACACCATACGCACGCACACAAAACACACACACACACACAAACGCACACACACACATGTATTGATGGATGCAATTGACTTTTAAATGTGTGCATTATGTAATAATCACTGAAAATTGTAATTAATTTAGTTGAAAAGCCTTAATTTGTTTAACAAGTTGAATCATTAATTTAAGTTTTCGTTCATTAACTGATTGATGTGTTTGTGTGTTTGTGTATGTGTGCGTGTGTTCAGATTTTGACGAGTGTACGGTGTACGGCACCTGCAGTCAGACGTGCACCAACACAGACGGCTCCTACAGCTGCTCCTGTGTGGAAGGTTATCTCGTCCAGCCAGACAACAGATCCTGCAAGGCCAAGAACGGTGAGACAAACAGGCCAAGATAAGATTCAATAAAACAAACCTTCTCCATTTCCCTGACACACATCAGCAGCTTTATTCATCATGGCTGACTGAACCGCCAGCCGCTTTTTTGTCTTGTTTCTAGTCCAAATAATTAAAAACTCTCAAATCAAGAAGCCTTTTAAGATGACTGTGTAAATGACACTTAATGACTGTTGTCATAAGCGGGAATACAATGTCATTCCTATTCATGATGTCACATCATGGTTATAAAGGTGTCATAACAGTCAGTCAGGTAAAGTGTTACCAATAAAGCTCTACTGGGAATGATGTGCAAAAAGAAAGCCCCACCCCCTACTCAATATTAAGTTTCAGTTGGAAGTGCGAAATGAAAGCCACGCCCCCTAATAAATATTCAGTTTCAATTCAAAGTACATCAACATACTGAAATAAGAGTCTCTGCAACTTCTGGTTCATGCAAATGAATGAAGCCCCACCCCCTACTTAATATTCCGTTTCAGTTGGAAGCACAAAAAGAAAGCACCGCCTCTTACCCAATATTCCATTTTAGTTGGAAGTGTAAAAAGAAAGCCCCGCCCCCTACTCAGTGTTCAGTTTCATTTGGAAGCACAAAAAGAAAGCCTCGCCCCTACTGAATATTTATTTTAAGTTGGGAGAGCAAAAAGAAAGCCCCGCACCCTACTCATTATTCAGTTTCAGTTTGAAGTGCAAGTAGAAAGCCCCACCCCCTAGTCAATATTTAGTTTCAGTTAAAAGTGCAAAAAGAAAGCCCCGCCCCCAACTCAATATTCTGTGTCAGTTGAAAGCGCAAAAAGAAAGCCCCGCCTCCTATTCTATATTCCGTGTCAGTTGAAAGTGCAAAAAGAAAGCCCCACCCCACCCCCAGTCAATATTTAGTTTCAGTTAGAAGTGCAAAAAGAAAGCCCCGCCCCTACTCAATATTCCGTTTTAGTTGAAAGCGCAAAAAGAAAGCCCCGCCCCCTACTCATTATTTAGTTTCATAAAGAAGTGCAAAAAGAAAGCCCCGCCCCCTACTCTATATTCAGTTTCAGTTGGAAGGGAAAAAAGAAAGCCCCGCCCCCTACTTAATATTCTGTTTCAGTTGGAAGTGCAAAAAGAAAGTCCCACCCCCTACTCAATATTCTGTTCCAGTTGTAAATGCAAAAAGCCCCACCCCCTACTCAATATTCAGTTTCAGTTGGAAGTGCAAAAAGAAAGCCCCGCCCCTTACTCAAAATTCCATTTCAGTTGGAATCGCAAAAAGAAAGCTCCGCCTCCTAGTTAATATTTAGTTTCAGTTGGAAGCGCAAAAAGAAACCCCACCCCCTACTTAATATTCTGTTTCAGTTGAAAGTGCAAAAAGAAAGCCCCGCCCCCTACTTAGTATTTCGTTTCAGTTGGAAGTGCAAAAGGAAAACCCCGCCCCTTAATCAAAATTCTATTTCAGTTGAAAGCACAAAAAGAAAGCCCGCCCCCTACTTAATAATCCGTTGCAGTTAGAAGCTCAAAAAGAAAACCCTGCTCACTACTCAATATTCCTTTTTAGGTGGAAGTGCAAAAAAAAGCCCCGCCCATACTCAATATTCCATTTTAGTTAAAATTGCAGAAGTTCTGAGCTCTAACTGATTTGTTTGTGTATGTTTGTGTGCGTGTGTGTGTAGTGCCTGTGGATCGTCTGCCCGTCTTACTGATCGCCAACTCCCAGAACATCCAGATCACGTCTCTGAGCGGCTCCAGCAGCCCGTCGCTCCACATCACCACAAAGCAGACCACGGCCATGGACTTCCTGTACACGCAGGAAACCATCTGCTGGATCAACGTGGGCGACTCTCCGGCCGGAACGCATCTGAAGTGCGCCAAGATCGCAGGACTCAAGAGCTTCAGCGAGGAGAGGACCATCAACATCTCGCTCAGCCTGCACCGTAAGCTCACTTCATATTATCATAGCTGCGTATTAATGAGGCAGACCTGAGGAAAGTCTTGCTAAATAATGCATATGCTAATTAGTAGGGCTGGGAGTCGATTCCAAAAAGATAACATAGTGTCCTTTTGACATGGTGTGAAATAAGGCTCTGATGTCCCTAGAGTTAGTGTGTAGCGCTGTTGCCTTACAACAAGAAGGTCTTTGGTTCAAGTCCCAGCTGGATCAATTGGCATTTCTGTGTGGAGTTTGCATGTTCTCCCCGTGTTGGCATGGGTTTCCTCCCGGTGCTCCGGTTTCTCTCAAATTCCAAACACATGCAATGGAATTTAATAAACTGGCTGTAGTGTAGGCCAAGAAGGATGTCCGCTGTAAAAAACATATGCTGGATAAGTTGGCGGTTCATTCCACTGTGGCGACCACTGATGAATAAAGACCTAAGCCAAAGGAAAATTAATTAATGTATAAGTAGTCTGATTTTACTGTTGCGTTTTATCATTTTTGAATCTTGAACTGGTGAAAATGCTTTTTTAGCTTAGCTTAGCATAGATCATTGAATCAGATTAGACCATTAGCATTTTGCTAAAAAATATAATAAATCAAATAATTGTCCTATTTAAATCTTTACAGCGGTTGCAAGGATATTAACATATTAATTATATTACACAGCGCTTTGGATAGCAAAGCTGTGGATAAGTTGGCGGTTCATTCCGCTGTGGTGACCCCTGATGAATAAAGGAACTAAGCCGAAGAAAAATAAATAAATGAATTGTCTAATTTTCAACTTCTCTAAAGGTAAACTGTTCAGTTTTACCATTTATGAAATCTGATCAGGCGGGAGCACTTTTAGCTTAGCTTAGCATAGGTTATTGAAACAGATTAGACCATTAGCATTTTGCTAAAAAAAAAAAAAAATTAAATAATTTTCCTATTGAAAGCTTTACAGCAGGCGTAAAGATATTAACGTATTAATGATATTAACACAGTGCTTTGGATAACAGAGTTATGGATAAGTTGGCGGTTCATTCCGCTGTGATGACCCCCTGATAAATAAATGGACTAAGCTGAAGAAAAATGAATTAATGTCTAATTTTACAACTCCTCTAAAGTTAAACTGTTGAGTTTTATCATTTTTTAATCCTGATCTGGCGGGAGCACTTTTAGCTTAGCTTAGCATAGATCATTGAATCGGATTAGACCATTAGCCTTTTGCTAAAAAATTAAAAAATAGTTTGAATAATTATCCTATTTAACTCTTTACAGCAGGCGCAAAGATATCAACATGTTAATGATATTAACTCAGAAATTTTACCTAACCAGGTAGGGACTAACAAGCCAGAATGAGACTATAGTTCCTAGCCATATCTGTCTTGAAAATAACAACTTTTAATTTTCCATTGGTCTTGGTATGGGCGGCAGGGTGGCTCAGTGGTTAGCACTGTAGCCTCACAGCAAGGAGGTCTCTGGTTCAAGTCCCAGCTGGGCCGGTTGGCATTTCTGTGTTGAGTTTGCCTGTTCTCCTCATGTTGGCATGGGTTTACTCCAGATGCTTCGGTTTCCCCAACAAGGGCATCAGCAGTGTAAAACATTAGCTGGAATAGTTGGCGAATCATTCCACTTTGGCCACTTCTGAAATAGAGATTGGGCCAAAGGAAAATAAATGAATAGATGGAGTTGGTACATGATGTAACAACAGAAGAGTCAAACTTTAGGAAAATTTTTGAAGCTTTTTTTAAACAAGATGCTAATGGTCTAATCCAAATCAAGTATTTATGCTAAGCTAAGCTACAAAATGCTTTACAACTAAGCTGTAAACTCTAAAATTGTTCTTTAAGGGAGAAGAAACAGAGAGAGATATTAAATTATTCATTATCCCTTTTATAGAACTTGCAAATGTTTGTGTTTTTGTGACTCGATTTCATGTCAGACTGTTCCACCAATATCTGATCATAGCTTTTCAAAGAGATATAGGCCATTTCACTTCAGACTAACTCCTCAGTTGAGCTCAGAGGAGTTTATTTGTGCTCATTTTCAGGCAGTTTGAGATTTGATGTCTTCTGCTAGTGTTGTTTATGTGTTTTCCTGATTGATGTTTCTCTGAGCTGCGCTGATCAATAATACTGCTTTCCCCCCCGTGAGTGTTCATTGAGCATACTGAGAGACTGGTAAACTGCTCTTCAGCTGCTTAATGAATAAGATGCCTGTTTTCATACGCCAAAGTGCCCTGAAAGCGTTTAAGCAATTCACCTTTTGGGATTTTATGAAAGAGACGGAAAGTCGAATGAATGAAGGTAAGAAACATTCCGGGAACGAGATTAAAGGATTTCAGGGAAGTAAAACAAAACAAGTTGAAGCTTTTTTTTTTGGTAATGACCAGAAAAAGACTTACATGTTGCAGAATAAGATAAGTGGTATTACAGCACACACTGACAACATTTACAGTACAGTGACTGTAAAAAAACAGCTTGCATTTTTGCTAAATGTAAAATATGTAGCTCCAGGAACATTTTGTTGTATGTTTCAGATGTCAAATACACTAGAGGGCGCTGTCTACATTTTTCACATCTAAAATATGTTACAGGTGGCTCAGTGGTTAGCACTGTCGCCTCACAGCTGTGTGTGTGTGTGTGTGTGTTATACAGACAGTGCGCAGATCTCTAACCGTACGTTCACACCGAAAGCGGCGAGAGCGTGGCGACAACGCTGTCTGCCTTCAGCTCCGGCAGCGAGAGCATCAAAACTCGCGACATTGATCTCGTATTTAAAGGAGCCGTTGCAGCATATCAGTTACATTCCTTCATAAAACAAGTTTCTAGCGTGAAAATGTTGCGCACGTCTTATCAAATTCATATAACAATGGAAGATCAAGTTACGTGTGGTGTGGCTTTGCTTTATTTATCCAATATGTGTCCATATGTCTGAAATATCCTGAAGCGGCTATACTGTTTTGTACTGTCACGTCGTGCGAGTTTCCCGCTTTTTTAAGATAAATTTATATAACATTAATGAACATCAGTAACTCGCCAGTAACTTATTTAATGCATGATCCTGTAAGAAAACATTGTAAATCCGGCGACCGCAATCATCAAACCCTTGGGAACAACTGTGGTCGGAACCAAAGTTCACAGGTCTGTGTTCTCTGAACTCCTATCAATCGGTGGACGTCTTCATTCTGATTGGTTGCCGCCGAACCGCGTCATAGCTCATTACCATAAAGTTGACTTGATTTCAACTCTCCTTGACGCCCACGCCGGAGAAGACGCGCCACGCTGCTCCTTGCCGCTTATCGCCGCCGGCTCTCATTGAAATTGAATGACTTCCGACTACTTTGACGCTCTCGCCGCTTTCGGTGTGAACGTACGGTATTACGAACAAGACAATTGGCAAATTGTGCAACAAACACAACCCAGGCTCATTTTGAAAACGTTGTCCCGCGGATGTTTCTGGAGACAGCGAAATACGTTCCTTACGGCGCTTGCCGGCTGGCCGCTCACCTCCATGTGTAGAGCTTTCCCGCCGCAACAAGTTTGTCCAGTTAGCTCGTCGTGTACTTCGGCGGACTGGAGGCGCAGAGAGGATATGACCGTGACAACGAAGACCGGGTTCGAGTCCAGGGTAGAGCGGTTCCAGAAATCAGGTAAGAAAACAAAAACAAAATCCAAAAAATAAAGTGAACAAGTTCATAACGGGGTGAGAATGTGGTCAAAATCCGAAAACATGGTAAAAATCGGACGAGGGCTTTTCTTTTTCTGGACGATTTTTGTAAATCGTCGTTGGTTGGGTTTAGGGAAGATGGAGGGTGGGTCAGCTGATTGGCCGGTCGCAAGGTCAATCATTCTGTCATTCAGACAGACAGAAGGTCGTTCGTCAGCAGCCTCTGGCGGGTTCACGCGAGAACAGCGTTCGCTCCCGCGAGAGACGTTCAAGATGCGAAAAAGCGCAACATCGGCCTCTGGCGGATTTGCGAAAACAAAAACTGTAAAATTACATACCTCCCTGGAGCACCTCCTCACGGTCTCCAGAAACGTCCACGGGACTACGTTTTCAGAATGAGCCTGGGTTGAACAAACAGGTGACGGTGAACTTAAGGTCACATATACAGTATTCAGTTTCTGAATGGTTTAGGCACAAGCCAACAGTTTGGTGATGCTGTCTGAGCCTTATGCAAATTTTTTTTATTATGCACGGTAATACTGTATACCAAGGTAAAATAGGGAGGAGGTTTGACGGTATCAAAATTTGGATACCGCCCAAGCCTAATGTTGACAGCGCCCTCTAGTGGATATGTCATCTGAAATGTGTGACAAAACGTATCCGGATCAACCTATTTTACATTTCACAAAAATATAGGCTGAGATGCGTACTGCATCAATCCTGTAATCCTATAACGTTTCGCAAAATGCAGAAGAAGAAAAAACACCGCCTTGTAAATCATTCCTCTAAATACATTCTTGTACTCTTTTCAGGCCTCTTTCCTTTTTCTAAAGTTGGAGCGCTAGTTTAGACAGGAAATATCTGTGTTAACCTGGAGTGCATATTTTGGGTCTTACCCCAAAGCTGGCACTCAGAAACGGCCAGATGGAGATTCAGGCCAGAAGTATATTTACTTTACCGGTGTTTGTGTTCGCGTGTGTTGCAGACCCGTCTCTCCTTCGGTTAGTTTAAATGCTGTGTCATTGCTTTCAGACACACACACACACACACAAACACACTCACAGGTCAGAGGTCAACTGCGGCTCTTTGACCTCACTAGGAAACCGTAAAGAGATCATTGACTTCCTGTTGCCAGTTATTGAGTTCCTGTGCTGAGAGGTACAGCCAGGAAAAATAAGGGGAGACGAGGATTTTGCTCTCTGTAGAGCTGTCAAAGCAAAAACATGAGTCTCACTTTATATTAAGTGACCTTAAATTCTATGTGCTTGGAATTAAATTAATTATTTGGTACAATTCACTTACTATGTACATAATTTTTAAAAACTAGACTTCTATTTTAAATATCAT